TTTTTTTAATGTAATTGATAAACTTTTTCTCTGCTTCAAGCATTTTTATTTTACCTCCTACCTCTTCAGTAAGCCCTCAGAACACAGCTGTGTTAATGTATTCAATTGGTCGGAGGTCAGCAGTCTCATGATTGGTGTCCACCTCTGAGCAAAGGAGAAAGTCTGGCTTTGTTATAACAAGAAAGTGGACTTACGTGATAAAACAGTACTGTGTCCAGGAACTGTAATTATGATTATGGAATTACTCAATTTGGGTTCCCACATCTAGGTTTCCTATATCTAAATGTGCACTTCATTTCATATTACTACTGTAATGTCTTTACCAAGTGATTTACATTCATACATTAGCTTCTGCATATGAGAGTTGGATGTAAAATGAAGGTCGTGATTGGCTTCCTTCACTTCTGGGGGAAGCTATGACTAAGGTTAAAAAGTAATGCGCTGTTCTGCCAACAGATTTTGCCTGATTGATTCTTCACCTAGATTTCCATTTGCACAATTTTATTCACTGCTGAAATAGATACAGTCATTTGAGGGTTGCATAACACTACTGAAATGATAAACAAGCAATTATAAAAATGGAATCGTTTAGTTTGCTGTGAATCAGTCTCTCAACTTAGTAAAAGACTGCATATTCCTGATGACCACAGCCATTGTCACCTCCAGCAGGAACCTTCCAGGGGCGCTTCACTTTTCACAGCTATTTTCGGTCCCAACCAGGGTTATAAGATTTAGCACTTCCTATTTTTAAAAAAGGAAAAGTTCCAAAAATCTCAGGAGAAACTGTATAAAATATATGAATAGATAAGTGAGAAAAAATAAATGCAAATGGCCTTTTCACATATGAAAAAATCCTCATCCTCATGGTAATAAAATGAATGCAAATTAAAACTGTACTTATGTACTAGTTTTCACATATCAGATTGACAAGAAAAATAAAATTTTAATTCTGTCAGTGAGACCATGAAGAAGAAGTCACATACTGTTGGTTGGAAAGATGAAATAGCACAACACATACGGGGAAGTTGGCAACTGTATATGTATGTATGTGTATGTAGACAGACAGACAGAGATGGCTGAGTGTGTATATATCTCTAACTATGTAATGAGGTAGAGTGATCACCAGGATAAACCAATAGAAAATGCAAAATATAGAACAGTTTATAGAATGCTAATTTTGTGTACGAAAGTGGACAAATGCATACACTTGCATACTTACTTGTTTATGTCTTCAAAAAGAAGAAAGTGTTGAATAAAACAATAACTAATGAAAATAATTACCTAAAGGTAAAGTTGAACAAGAAGGAAGGGGATAGCCATAAAAGCAGACATCTATCAGTGTACCTTATTACGTAGTTTTTACATGGTCAAAAAAACCAAAGAATTCCTAATAATTAAAAGCAACCTGAAACAAATTAATTGAACCACACAGCATGTTACTATTTGAATTACACATACAAATGAATCAGTGTAACTGACATTTACATAATGTTTTGTTTGTATATCCCTTGTGAAGCCTAATTTAATGGGAATCTATAAAAGGATCAACGAAGATAGGTTAAACTACATTTGTTCAACTTATTGTTAATTATAATCATGGCTTTGTTACTTTGAAACTACTAGAAGGTAAGAACACAGAGCAAATGAACAATTATGTTAATATGTTCATATCATGAAGAATCAAGGAATAAAATGACAATTACAAAATCAATGAAGTTAATAAAAAAAATCTCGGATCCAAAATATTAGCATGAACTCTTTGTTTGTTTCCATGTTTTGATAAACAATATTGTTTTGTAGCTCTAAGAAAAAGTCATAAGACTAATGGTAAAAATCTATGTAAAGTACCTATAGCAAGGTAAGGCTTTTAAATAAGATTTCCCAGATAGAAGGAATCAGAACTCCTTGAAAAATAGTAATTCTAAATCTTCATCACTAAATATACAAACTGGTCATGGAATAACTTGTTCAAAAAAGAAAAAAAAAGTGTTCAAAGAATAAAGGTATCGTTTCAAAAGCACACAAAAGCCTTTTGAAGTTTCTTCTGTCCTAAGAAGAGGCAAAGCAAGTGTCAAGAAAAAAAAAGGGGGGGAGGTGATAATGTTGAAGCAAATCAAATGCATGCAAATTCATCAATTCATAATTTATCAATACCATTTAAAACTATCTCTTTGGCTCCCATGAGAAGCTGATAACATATGAACTCATTCTTTGAAACTTTGTAATGAAAAAGAAAGAGTCAAGCATTTGGGCTGTGTTTTTCTCTACCTCCTGTATCTCAGAGTAGTCAAACAATCCACGTGATAAAATCCCTTTTTTACAGAAATAATTCAGCTAATAAGACCAAAATTTGTGTTTTTTTATTTCCATAGTTAAATAATGCAGACAAGCCTTGATCCTCATGCATGCCAGATCTTAGAAGAAGCTGTATGAGCCTGGAGACTCAGTAGTAGCCAAAACTCCTGAATGTACTTCACAAAGCTGTTATCATCGAAAATGGGAATCTTAACAATGGGACATTATAGAATGCACAAAGTATCATTTTTTCTTTTCCTTTCCTCCAAAATTAAATTTTGATCTAATTAAATCTCTAAATCTCACTACTAATTTACAGGAGTTAGGAAGTAGAGAGTATCTCTCAAACTTTATTATTCCACCACTAGGAAGGCTTTTTAAAAGAATTTTGTCCTAATTGTCTCATGCATACAATGAGACAATTTATTTTTATTGTATTTTATTTTAAAGACAATAAAAACAATAAAAATGTTACACAACTTCAAAAGAAGATGACAGGAAATTAAAAATGGTTATTGTGTTGCACACTGTTAACTTCAAAATAGTAGCTCAAAGATATAGGCATGTAAAAGTGATCAAAAATACAAACACTATTCGTTTCAATAATCTAATAGAAATTAGTAATACAATTATCTTAGCATGTGTGTGTGTGTGTGTGTGTGTGTGTGTGTGTGTGTGTGTTTCCTTCCTTCTTTTCTCCTTTCCCCAACCCAGTTGTTATTTCCCTTTGAGCAGTTTCTTTTCCTTTCACAATATCTCTGTACTTTTTGGATGTTATTTACTCTTTCAGATTCTTACACTAGGGAGACAATATTATGTTTACACTTGCAAGTATGATTTATTTCACTTATGAGCATTGTCTGTAGTTGTATCCATTTACCTATACAACCCTGTAATTTATCTTTCTTTGTAGCTGAATAACATAAAATTTTAATACTCTTTATATACCATAGGCTCAGCTTTGTTCTATGGGCCTTCGAATTTTTTCCTTTGTAGGGACATATATCACTCTCATTTTAAAAAATAAAATAAAACTGAGTTAAAAGAACAAGTTAAATGAGATCACAATACTGAACTGGCAGGGAAGACAGTATGATCATGAAGATGGTTTTCCCAGGGTGAGGCTCATCCGTTCCACTCCACATGTGTTGACCTCTGTGGCTTCTCTACCTGTGTAAAGCTCAATTGCATAATCTGTGGTAGAGGGGGACTGCATTTGCATTCACCTCTGGGGAAAAAACAACTGACATCACAAAAACACTTTCAACTCAGTAGATAATAGGAAACTAATTTTCAAAAAAACTCAATAAAAAGAAAATCAAAGAGGTAGGGATAATGATAAAAAGATTTAAGAGACTCAAGAATATGTCATCAAAAAACAATAGCGACACAGTATGTACTTTTTATAGATTCATCACTCAAATGAACTGTAATGTTTAAAAAATTTTAATTTGGACTTAATATTAGATGATACTAAGAAATTAGTATAATTTTTGTGCACTATGATAATGAATTAATGGAATTTAGAAAAATGTCCTTCACTATAAGGATGAATTCATGAGGGTTTTTTTAGGCAAAATAGCATGATATGTGAAATTTACTTCAACAAACACTAGAAAATTAAGTCAGTGGGAAACAAATCACATAAAATAGAAAAAAATATTGATAATGCTGTGAAAGAAGATTCAGTACAATTTTGTTTTTCTGTTTAAAAATTTCCATAATAAAATACTTTAAAGAATGCACCAATTAACATCTTTCAGTTTTCTACATAACCCCATAAAATGTGTTTCATCTAAAGTATAAGGAATTGTATGCATATGAAAAAATTGAGCCAACTGTGCTAAAAAATTATTTTTATATGGTAGAAAAATAAAATATTAATAGGTCTATTATTTTTGACAAGTATATTCATGGGACTTATATTACTTGAATTTCAAAGACCAAAGTTGTGTCTTTTGTATTTCTGTTCACATGGATGAGCCTGGGTTCACCACTTCACTGATTCTTAAAGAGGAGATTTTGTAACCACTTTCTTTATCCTTAATCTTGTCCTTCTTTTAATTGTGTTTTCACTGAGGAAAGGTAATCAAACTAAAACCCTGGGATCTGTGATATTTTCTAAGTTTGCCTGGGAACTGCCATGGCCTCAGGTCAAAATCGCTAACCAGATGATGTTTCACCTTCACTATTGATAAAATAGTTGGCAGGAAAAGTATTCCACTCAGTTGAAGCATATTGGTTTATACCCCAGATGCCAAAAAATAAATTTTCTGAGTATTCTTATGAGAAAATTAAGTAATGGTGTTGCTGATGTATTACGCAGACCTAATTGATTCAATAAAGAAGAAGGAGAATTGATGTTTGGCATAATATGATTTCTCAGAGGAATTAATGTTTGGCATGGGTCAGTGTAGTTAAATGCTGACTCCTTGTTCAAGTCAAGGGTGAAACAATAATGTTACTTATGTTTTCTATTTTCATTCAATAGCATTTAACTTTCACCCCCTTTTTTTTTAGAGGAAAAAGAAGTGTCATTTAAAAATGAGCCCATATAATGTTGACAATTGTTGGGCTGAGGAGGTAGCTGGTGTTTTAAGAGCCTGACTGGCAACAGCAAGGACCCAGGTTTGATCCCTGGTACCACACGCTGCACTGGCCCCATGCCACCCAGCCACTGGAACCAGGTGTGGTGGCGCATGCCTGTAATCCAAGCACTGGTGAGACTGAGACAGAAAGATCACTACAAGTCCAAACTGCTTAGCAAGACCCTGTACCAAATAAATAAACAAATAAAAGATTAATTTTTTAAACATTGATAATTGACGATGGCAAAGCTATCATCTTACAGCAATTTCTAGATATCAAAGATTTCACAATAGCAACAGCAAATTTTGATTACAGAAGTTTCTTACCTGAAAATAAATTAGGTATCTAGAGGGAGAGTGAGTTTAATATATTTGAAAATCTAATAATAATCCAAAATTATTTTTTAAACTTTTATATAACCAAAATAAACTTATCAAAATGAATGTTCAATTCTGTTGAATTCTATCCCTATTTTATAAATTGAGCTTTGCTTTCACATTTGTAATTTAGTTATAATCTATTATAGTAAGAAAATAGTTATGAATTGTTACCAGAATATTTAATCAAAACAATTTTATGTTAGTTGATTAAAATTATTATTTCCATTCTTTTCCTTTATTGCAGTAAGTTTTGACAGAATTGGAAAGTAAAAGATATAATAAAACCAAATTATAAATTAAATAAGGCACTTTTAAGCGATGATAATTTAAATAATTGATTTTGAGATTTAAAGAACTTATCTCAAAATATGTAATCCTGATTTTTCTTAATTGTGGAGTGAATTTATAATTAATAGGATAAATTAATGTTTTTAATAAAGTAAAGAAAGAAGGAAGGAAAAATATATACAGGATAATGTGGGTAATTGTGCTGCTGATTTCTACTGGACTATTGAAAGGAACAATTAATGCTTAATTTTTTTTCTTTTTAATTTTTTGACCAATTTTTCATGCTTATAATTGGTAATATGAACAACTAACTTGAAGACAATAATATGAAATACAACAGCCATTGTTGAATCCCTATCATTTCATTTAGTGAAATTATATAGTTTCTAATGTATTTTTATTACTTTTTATTTAATTTAAAAAAAAAGAAAGTATAAAAAATTTCACATATTTTTAACTACATTCAGCCACTCTCCCTGATTGAGATTTGACTCAGGTATATTCTTAATTGGCTGCATAATAAGTCTCCCTAGCAAGCGGGGAAAAGGGAATCTGTCTTGCATGTATGAGATGCAGATTTTTTTCACAATTAAAAATGTGCATATTGGCAATATTTTGAATTAATTAATTTTTAAGTGATCCTTTCATAAATTTGGAAACAGTTACTTAATACTGAAGTATATTTGGAAGTTTCTCACTCTAACTCATTATGAGGCCCAAGAATCTTCCTGTAGTTCAGTCCAGGGATTACTTAGCCTCCTATGTATGTTCATATTTTTGTTGGTTGATACCAAATAAAAACTCAGTTTGTATACATATTTATGAGGCATCCCCTCCTAAGAATTTAATGAACAAAAGAGTATACTTAAAGCCTTATTAGATGTGGATGGATGTGCCTTTTGTGGCAGTTGAACACAAGGTTTCAAACATGCTAGGTAACCGCAATATCACCAATCTATGTCTACAGTTCTTTTCCTTTATTCTGAGGCAGGGTCTTGCCAATGTGTCCAGGCAACCCTCCTGCCTCAGCTTCCCCAGAAGCTAGAGTCTCAGGATACACAACTTTCCCAACTCAGCTATCTGACTTGAAAACATTCCTCACAATCTGTGGGTTGCCTGCTTATGCTGTGGAGTCTGTTGATGCATGAATTTTTGAAATTACTATGAAACTCATTCTTTCTAGGACATTTTAACCACTGAAGTCACTTGTATCTAGCTAAGAAATCCAGTATCAGGAAACTTTCCCTTTATATTTTTAAACTTTCCCATAGGTTGAGATCTAATATTCAAGATTTTGATCTTCAGAATATATGGGAAACTCCTAAAACTCAGCAACAATAACAGCATAACCATAAGTGGACCACACAGATGTAGGAACATCAGAGGGAAGCACTGTGGTAGGGCATAGCTTCTATGTTTATGACTTTGTGGAAGCATAACACGGAAAATGAGATCACCAGGGGATGCACCTCTCAAAGGCACAGGCTTGGTGACCCACTCCCTGCACCAGCGATGGGGTCCTACCTCCTAAGAGCACCTTCTAACAGTGCCCCTTGAGCTGACCCCTCTTTCAAGTGTTTCACAATCTATTCAAATTAATAATTAACATTAATTGGTACAGTAAGAATGTAAAATGTAAAACTTCTATGGAGTATAGTAACATTGTTTCTCAGAAGAAATTAAATATAGGGTTATCTTAGGATCTACCATTTCCACATACAATGTAAACCCTAAAGACTGGACAGGGGTAAGAAATAGAATTTAAGGTATTGTGTTTGACCAGCATTCATAAGGCCCTTAGATCAACCCTGGAATCACAAAAAAAGCCAACACAATCCAAAACAAGTAAAAATATAAAAGAATTAAAAACAGAAACTGGAAGAAATGCTGGTTGTCTCAGTTTTCTGTTCCTGGAACCAATACCTGACACCCAAAATGAAGGAAAGAAAGGTTTATTTAGCTCACAGTTATTGAAGATTTCAGTCTATACTCAGCTGGCTCCAAGGCAGAGCAGCACATGGCAGACAACAGTCTTTCATGGCAGTGGCAAAGAGCAAGAGAGCAAAAGGGAGGAGTAGCAGCAACAATGGTAACAGAAAGCAAGTCTATCTCCCTTAAGTTGCATTCAGGCTCTACACCCCAGGCTGGGTGTAGTACTCACACACATAATCCTAGCAGCACTCACTCCCATAATCCCAGTGGACAGGGAGTTAATCACAAACAGCAGAAATCCACCCCATGACTGCATGAGGCTTTGGGGGGGGGCAACTAAACACAAACCATAACACTGGTACACTTAGTTCACAGATGTTCTCTTGATCAACATTTCTCACTGCTGAGCCAAAATCTCTGACAACAAGAAGGAAAGGTTTATTTTGGCTCAGACTTCATAGAGGTCTCAGCTCACAGTTGGCTGGCTCCAAAACAGTGCAGTATGACAGAGGGCATCACAAAGGGGAAACAGTTCATGTTGGGCAGAAGACAGGAATGCAGCAGGGAAGCAGGCAGCAAGAGTCAAGTGAAGTAGTGAGGAGGCAGGCAGCAAGAGCTAACAGCATCCCTCCTCCTGTCCCTTATCTTCTATCCAGGCTACACACCCTTAAATTGGTATCTCTCACCTCAGGGTGGGCCTTCCCAATAGTCATTCCCAGAACTATGCCAAACCAACCAATAGACTGATTTAGTAGTTACACACCCTTCACCTCAACACCACACACCTTATACTAGCATCACATACTCTAGATCCACAAATTCTGAAAAATCCCACTTATGACTGTGTGAGGCTTTGGGTGGACATCTAGACACAAGCCACAATGGATGTATTATTCAGAATACTAGTACATGGAAAGAACCCAAGTGTTCATGAGAAGATGAATAAATAAGGGAAATGGAATGTTAATAATGGAGCAAAATAATGGAATATTGTTCAAGCTTTAAAAGGAACCATTTTTACAATGCACAGTACAACATTA